CGAACGCCCCGAGAGGTCCCGGTTGCTGCTGCGCCTGCCAGTGAGTGCAGGACTTTTTTTTTTTTCCACATGCCAGGGTGGGGGGGGACTGGGGGAGCAGGCAGGGAGTGGGGGCACTTGTGGGGGGGCCTAAAGGAGCCGGTGGGGGATGGGGCCAGGTGGGGGTCCCTCCACGATCCCCTCCCCCCTCCTCCAGCCCCCTGCCTCCTACTTACTGGCATGGAGCCTGGGTCTAGTTCCCTGCGGCGGCGAACGGGGACTGCTCAAATCTCCAAATCAATTCAGAGGCTTCCAAATTGATTCAGAGGCTTCTGATTAGATTTGGACCTTCTAATGGGTCTCCCAATTCGATTCAAATTTGGAGATCCAGCACCCAAATCAAGCCAAATCTCTTCCAAATTGAATCAGCTACCAAAGCTTTGCACAGCCCTACCAATAAGCATATGACAATAAAATAAGTGGGCTAAAAACCCTGTATTAACATAATGGGATGCATTTTGGACTCTGTTGGACTCATGGGTTCAGTGCGAATTTTGTCTGAGTAAGGACTACATGTTTTGTCCTCTTATACAGGAAAGAAGAGCACCTGCAGTTAGCACAGAAAATAATTGCTGCATTATATATTACAGCCTTTTCTTCTACTCTCCCACTTCTTGTAGCTAAATATACAGATGCCTCTCTTCCATACTGCTTATTAGCTATAAATATCCTGCTCTCCTCTGCCCTCGTTGTACCTTAACAGGCAAGTATGAGAAACAGGGCCTTAATTGAAATATACTTTCTCTTTTTGTGTAGTTTGTTGTCTTCTGAGCTACAAGGGCTTCTACATCTTCCCATGTGCTAGGAAAAGTAGGTAACATAAAACCTATTACCATATCTTACCCTGGATATATGTAGTTGTGTCCTGGACTTTCTTCCAATGGAAATTCTGTACCTGGTTTTGTTGAAATGCAGAAGTCCATTCCACTATGAACCACAGGACTGACCTCTCCCTGGGCCTAGGAGGCTCCCATTTAACAGTGATCCCACTTTGATTCTCATATTTAATCTGCATGTTGGTAGGGGATGGGAAAGCTGCAAACAAAGGAAAGAGATGGTTTGACCTTAATCCTTCAACAAGTGGAAGACTTTAAAAGTCCCTTCCATACTAAGAAACTGCCTGTGCTCTGCACCAGTTTATGAACTGAGCCTGAGCATACACAGAGACATTACAGATCTGGAGTATTTGTGTACTTTGTTGTGCCTCTTCTGTCTAAAAACAGTATCTGTTACTTTTACAAGAAACAGCTACAATTCTTATAACTGTAGAAGACCAAGGACAAATGTTGTTTTTCCATTTTATTTACTTTGTGCAGTTTCTCTTTAGTCATTTTCACTATCAGCCCTTCCCTTCCTGTTTGCGTGGGACTTTCCCTCAGTTCTGAGTGAAAGAAAATATTTTAGAAAATAGGAAAATGTGGTTGTGGAAAACCACAGCCTTTGACGTGAGGGATCAGATGCAGGTGTAAATCCTGAAATTACCATTTATTCCTTTTTTTTTAATTGGCTGGATTTTACAGTGAGACTCTCCCTTTATTGGAAAAGGAAAGGGCTGTTTTCACAAAGGCTTTGAGCACAAACACAAAATGCCCATGTTCTGAGAATGACTAAGTAGCACAGCTACATCAGCTCATTCTAGTTAGTGCTGTCAAAGTAAAGCTTATTTTTTAAACCTGTTGTTGAAACTTTCAGAAACAACCACTTAAAATAAGTGGCTACACACAGTCCTGAATCTTCTGGCGAGCTCACTTTGGGTGCTTATACAAGTTGCATTTGTTGTGTGATCAGGCCCCTGAAAGCGCTCCACAGCTGTGACTTAACACACCTGCACAGCTGCAGAGCACTTTTTAAATGGCTGATTGCACGGAAAATTAATCCTGATCAAATGAGGTATTACCTGAAGGCACTTTAAAGCAGAGTACCTTAGGGAACTTGTGTTCCCTCCAGGGTTAATTTTTCCTGCTTTGCAAGACTATCAGTGGGAAAGGGGAGGGAGAAGCCCTGCACATAGCTGCCAGCTGTTTTGAATGACTAGAGCTGGGGACAGGGTGGAATGGAACCCCCTCGCTGACCCTCCCCCACCCCAGCTACCCCATCTGGAGTATTGGGGGGAGCTGGGCCAAGCCCAAGAGGTGAGGGGGGGCTCCCTTCCTCCCCTCCCC